TCCATTAACCAACAATAAATGACATTTGTATATCGCCTTCCATGTCAGGAGGATATCCCAAGTTTCTGGAAGCTTGAGGGTCTAGCACAAGGCTGCTGAAAGTACCCAGGAATTGCAGGAGAAATGTTTTTAAAAGGAGGGTGATACGATGGAACTAACGGCCAGGCAAACAGAAATGGTCAAATAAATAACTCGAAAAAAGGAATCGGTCAGCACTCAACTCTGGTCAGAAGATTGTGGGTTGTAACTGCATGTCAGAGCTTAAAGCATATGTGTCAAAGCTGACACTTCAGTGCAGCAGTGAGGGGAGCCCTGCATTGTCAGGGTGGCCCTTTGGCTATGATGTAAACCAAGGTCCTGTCTGATCGGGTGAAGACACCACGAGATTTGAAAAATGAAGGGAGTTTCTCTAATGCACCAATGTCTCTCGGAACCAGAATTATAAAAAAATCCTCTCAATAATGAAGGAAACAAGGAGGGAGAGGTTGAGGGCAGAACTGCCATGTGGATGATGTGATGCGTTGATCAGTAATGTTTTGGGTTATGGTGCACATGTCAGCTTAACCTGTTTAATTGTTTTAATTGGAGTTGAGGTACAGATCAGCCATAATCTTACAGAATGGTGCAACAGGCTCGAGGGGCTGAATGGCCTCCTCCTGTTCTATGTTTACATCATAGAAGGAGGCCCATCTAGCTTATCGTTAGCTCCCCCCACTAGTCTGCTCCTGTCCTGGGGTGGAGGCTTGTTCACTTCTAGAGTAATCACAAAGGAACTGCTCCAGGAAGAAGGGAAGAGACTATGTGTCCTGAGCTTGTCACTAGAGAGCCTGCAGGGGAACAGATGTGGATCTTTCTCTTTCTCCGCTCTTTCTGGTGCTGCTTGCTAGTCAGCTGAACAAGCCGGTATGCCATATATATTTTATGAGTGTTATAAAACATAGCAAAGCAGTCAGGGTGGAGAGAGATGAGGGTGGAGAGACATACAGGGACCCGGACAGTCACATTTTAAGAGACAAATGCCCTGCACAGAGAACTTTACACTGATATTAATTTGCAGCTCATGACAGGCAGCCTCCAGCCAGGGCTCCCACTGGATTGTAATATCTGTGCCTGTTTTCCCATTGTGGTGTCTTAGGTCCAAAGGGCTTTTCTTTACACTCGTGGGGAGTTTGACTGTTTTTAGTACGTTGTGTATATAGTGTTGCCTTAATTGATGGGTGGGGGTCAGCTGATAGCTGTCCTCACTGACCCACCACCCATACACACTCACCGTTAAGATTGCACAGGATCATTCAAGAACATTAATCCTGGTTATTTACGTAGATTTACTGTTTCTGTTCAGCATGACCCAACCAGACCACGTTGGTATATATATTCCACAATTGAGTCTCCACCCACTCTCCCATACTCTTCTATTCCCTTCTCCCTCGTGTGTCTACCTCGCTTCCTCTTAAATGCCTCTACGTTATCTGCTTCAACTACTGCTTTGGGCAGAAAGTCCCACGTTCAAAGAGAAAGGTTTTCAGGCGGGGGGATTGAGGGAGTGTGTTCCAGAGGGGGGTAGTGGCTGAAAGCGCGACCTCCGATGGTGGGGCGGAAGGTGTACCAATCGAGCAGAGGTGCCCGGTAGTGGATTGGGGAGTGAGGAAGTTGGAGAGGTTGCGAGGTGCCAGGGAGTGAAGGGATTTGAACACACGGGTGAGGATCTTGAAGTCGAGCCGTTTGGTGATGGGGAGCCAGTGGAGCCTGGGCCAGAACTGGTGAGATAGGGGTACGGAGTTTGGTCGGGGTCAGTATGCGGGCGGCAGAGTCTGAATGAGCTGCTCTTTTGAATAGTGGAGCTGGGGAGACCGGCGAGGAGTGTGTTGGAGTAATCCAGGTGGGAGTTGACAAACACATGCACAGGGGTTTCGGCTGCATTTGAGGTAAGGTACGGTCGGAGGTGGGCAACGTGGTGGAGGTGGAAGAAGGTGGTCCTGGTCAGGGACCGGATGTGGGGGAGAAAAGGACAGCTGAGGGTCAAACTGGATGCCTAGATTGTTCACTGGGTTACATTGAGCCACATTGTTAAAGCACCTCTATTAGGTTCCCTCTCAAATATTTCTTCTCTAGTGAAAAAAGACCGAACCTATTCAGTCTATCCTGATATCAGTAACCTGCCAGCCCTGGTATCATCCCAGTGAACCTATGTTATAGCTTTCCATCACTGCTATATCCTTTTTGTAGTGTGGTGACCCGAATTGCACATAGTACTCCAAATGTGGTCTAATCAACCAATTATACAAATTCAACACAGTTTTACACTCTATCCTTTTGGATATAATGTCCAGTAGCAAATTTTATGGCCTTATCTATCTCTTTTGCTACTTTTAGAGATTTGTGGATCTGGGTCCCAGGTCTCTGATCCTCTTAGATGTTAGGCTATAGGTGGCTTCTTTATTTCTTTCTGCCAAGGGGAATTCATTCGCATTTTCCTATGATAAACTTAATTTGTCATCTGTCCACCCATTTTTTTGGCCTGTTTGTCTTCCTGCATATCTCTGCCTTCCTCTTCACTATTCGAGTGCTGCTTTACTGTGTAAAGTCATGGCAGCTGTTCCCTTGTGAGCCCTCATCTCAGCCACAACTTTTTCAGCTGAACCCAAGCATTCTTTTTATTTTTAGTGTCTGTTTTCACACACACTTTGTTTTTAATTAAAGGCAGGCAAGCAGAGTCTGGAACAAAGGCAGCTGTTAATGAAATAGCAGTGCGGAGTTATTGCAGTGCAGCACCAGTGGGTTTTGTTAAATCCTTCTTCCCTGTTTGCAAACTTGCTAAATATTGAGCCTTTCTGGCATCCTACCATCCCCAGATATAGCATGTACTGTATACAAGCAGCTTGTTTGGCCAAGATTGTATAATTGGCTGGGCTTTTATACCAACTTTATGTAAATGTAGAGTTTGACATTGAAACTTAAACGTATTTAATTGCTGCTTCACTTGTTTTTAAAATTAGTTTTTTCTGTGGAAGTGAAATGAAAATCTCTCTTCTCCATCTGTTTGGCTTTTCCTGAATCCTGTCAGTTTCCTGCCTGACTGAGGAGAGGAGGGTGTAACTCTGGTTCAGTCAGTCACGCTCTCACCACTGGTCAAGCGGTTGCTGGTTCGAGCCCCACTCCAGGCATTTTGCTCTTTGAATCCTTGCGGACCAAAGAAGCTCCATTGTTGGAGATGCCCATTAATACTGAGGTCGCTTCTGGTGGTTTACACGTGGTTGTTAAAGCTTGAAATAAGAACAGGGAGTTCCCCCCCACCCAAACCCGAACAATATTCCTTTTCCAAACTCACTGAAGCGTCGGTATCTTAGGCGTCTTTCTAGCTGTGGTGGGGATATTATGGATGCAAGATGGCTGCCATTCTTGCTTTCGTAACAGTGTGAAGCGCTTCAAGGCATTTTTATATCAGATTATCCTGTCAAATGTAAATATAATGTGCTCTCCCTTCCATGGTGGTTGTGTGGGGAACGACCTTGCCAAGATCAGAGTCACTATCCACTCCCGGGGGCTGTTTTTGGAAGTGTACGGAACTGACTGGGCACGGTCCACTGCTTTCACCTACAAAATACACAGTCACTCCGCTTCACACTGTATCTTGTGAAGTAACTTGGGACACTAACTTGCTTGAAGGGCGCTATGCAAATCAAGTTGTGTTGTTGATGTGGTTGTGGTCGAGTCATCCTCCTGATGTAAAAAGTACTATAGCAAGGACTATTATTGTTATTATTATTTCAATAATGTAGAAGGCTGCACTGACAAAGACAAATCATTGTTGTTCTAACACTCCCTGGTTGGTAACTTCATGGCTGAATTATTCAGTGAGCAAACTGCATTTGCCAATGGATTGGAATAAACTGCTGCATTATCCTAGCTGTGCTTCAGTGTAAATGTAAGTAGAGCAATTATTCAGCCACTGGAGCATGGAGCAAAATGCATTTCTTGGGCGTAAACTGTAAAATGTAAAGCGAGAGGTTTATTTTCTGCAGTGTTTACTAAAGACTGAACCATGGAAAGTTTTCCCAGAGTATCAGTGTTGCTGAGTTGAAGCGACTGGCCAAGCCGCCGTGTTAGTGATCCAAGGTTAGTGATCCAAGACATCAAAAGCTGAAGCAGCTTTACAGTACATTATTCATCAGTTGTCTAGCATGGGACACTTGTTGGAAACCTGGACCCGCGGCCCTGAGGGAGAGGTTTATTCCATTTCATAGTATTTGCTAAAAGACTGAAAGTTTAGAAAGGTTTCCCGAAATATCAAAGTATTGCTGAGTTAAGCTGTGACTTAGCGATGCTGTGTGCAGGGACTGTTCTAAGTAAGGGTATGCGGTAGGGTGAGATATATAGATTGGCTCTAGAGTACTTTATTGGTGAATGAAAGGGACAGAGGGCCAGAAACAGCCAGCTGCACACTCAGTGTATTTCAGTCGCTTGTTTAATTTTGCTCCGTGCGCTGCTTGACTCAGCTCCATCGCCTGCCATTGGTGTTGGCCAGTACCAGCTTTGCTCTGTTTTGCCGTGGAGTTTTCTTCATCGAGCTCCCGAACCCTTAAACACAAACAGACACAACGTAAACTCTATTCTAGCCATTGAAGCAAAGCTCAGGTGTTTCAGCCTGGCTGAGCTGGTCACACACTGTCTCTGGGGCAGAAGGTTCAAGCACCACATCGGGACTTAGAGTTCACAATCTAGTCTGACCCTCCATAATGCGGGGGGAAGTGTTCTCTTTTGGTTGCGGCTTCAATCTTAGATCTTGTCTGTCTGTCCTCAGATGGAGGTGATGCTATTGAGAAACGGACTGGAGTTTCCACCTCGTATCCATTTGTAGGATCTTGCTGGTATTTGCCTGCAAAAACTTGACCCGTCAGATGTTTAGAGACGTGATGGGGTTCAGATTCTAACCCTAACTGTTGACTTTACGTTGTGTTGAATAGTTGTAATACTAAGAATGATTTGTGATTTTTTTGCAGCCTGTTCAGAGAGAGAGAAACTTTCAAGTGGACAAAGAGAGCAGTTACGTTTTCACAGGACACCGGTAAGGACCGTTCACAAACACTGTCAGCAATGCAGCCTCTGCTTCAGGCTACAGCCTACAGTGGATGAATCCTGGACTTTTCCTTGAAGTAGCGGGGATTTTAGCCTCTTACAGTTAGGGTGAGAGAAAAAAAGAATACTCACAGCGAGCAGTGAGAGTGGTATTTCTGGCTGCTTGTTCTCTAAGCTCCCCGATATTTACCTTACACTAGCTTTACCACTTTCTGTCACCATCTTTCCCCATTCACTTCATGGCGGTTTGTAGGATATTGTTGTGCACAAATTGGCTGCAATTGACCAACAAAATAGACAGACAGCTACTACACGTTACAGTAAATTCTGTGAAGCACTTTTAAGTCGTGCCTCCCAAAATGAACGGTCGAGGATTATTTATTTTACCCCCTTCCCCTGTAACTTAATCACATGCAATTTACCGTCCCTTCGACTCATGCATTTGAGATTCAGTCAAAAAACGTGAAACACTGGCTAGTGCGGTGTGAGCTTTATTGTTATTAGTGGGAAATGGGGAGGCTGATCTCCAGGGTACCTTGGGCTCCCCCACGACCTCAGGCTCCCCCACGACCTCAGGCTCCCCCATGACCTCAGGTTTTCCACGCATCAGCTGGCGCTCAGGGAACTCTGGCTCTGCCTCTGTCTAACTCACATTGGGATGTTTGGTCCCTCAGGAATCGGGTGACGTGCTTGTCGGTCTCTATGGATGGGAGTTTGCTGCTTTCGGGATCCCATGATGAGACGGCCAAATTGTGGGACATTCAGAGCAAGCAATGCCTGAGAACCGTCAATCACAAAGGTAGGACCAGAGCATCTCTCCAACTCCTCTCCATAGAGCCTCGGATCCTGATAAGTCCTTATACACACTTCAGCCTGGATTTGCTTTGCGTTGCTGCAATTCTTGCTAGTGACTAAATTAATGATGGGATTTTGAAGCGAGAGATGGATGGATTTTTGGTGAGAGGCGTTTGAGGTGACAAGAGTGCTTTAACTTGTGACTGGGCGGGTGGACAGCAAATGTCTTTCTGCTGCTGCACTTGCCTGTGATGTACAAAATGGGACCAGATCTACCATTGTTCAGGCTACATCTGGGGAATGAAAGCTAGCCTCCCACTCTCATACACTGAGGGGAAGCTCAGAGACATTAATCAGAGCTTCTGTTACTTTCAGAAACATTGGCATATTGCAGATTATATTTTCTAAACAATGCTGTAAACTGGGGGAAACGATACTCCCGCAACACAACGTAACTTACACGAGAAAATTCTCAACCCTTTTCTAACCCACAACTATTGAGGGTGTTATAAAGGTGGTCACTTTGGACACGGTTAAATGAGTTGAATATGATGACTTTGTCATACCTTCAAAAGGTGTGGGATAATGTTTAATGTTGGCGGATTGATTAGTTTTGACAGCCATTCTCCAGGTCTGAATAACTGAATGGGAATGTCACATCTATGGTTCGGGGCGGTGGGTGGGGGTGGATTTAAGTCACTTTGATTTTAGAAAGTTTAAAATTAGGCAGTAATTTGGGAGCCGTGTTATTAAAAAGCCCTTTTCAGGGACCTTTGTACTATGTGATGAGTTTATTCAATTATCTGATTTTTAATGAAGTCTAAAGGCTTTGACGATGGTACATTACAGTTGGCTGCAGGTCACAGGACTCGATTTTGTCCAAGTAACACAGCGTTTAATGACCGTCAAATTGGTGATTTTATCTTGGTATCAGTCTTATGCTCTGTTATTCTGGTACGTTTTTGGCTAAATGATCCAATTTTTTTGGAATAATATTTCTTGAAAGATAGACGTCTTTTTAACCATCATAATAATAATGCTTGCTTTTGATATAGCGCCTTATCTCGTTGTTGAGATGTCTCAAAACGCTTTGCAGAATATATTGTAAAGTGGATTTACTGTGTACTTTGTGGATGAAACACGGCAGCCAATTGTGCACAGCAGTGTCCCACAAATAGTTGTGGATTGAGTGACCATTTTTTGGGGGGAAGGATTATTATCTCTGGAAAGCGATTGCTTCTTCTTTTATTATAGCTCGAATGGGCAGAGTTTGGTGGGATGGGAATCCCAGGCTTGTTCACTGTTGTGTTTTGGAGCATGAAGCGAATAAATATAACTAAATCTTGTCTTTAATCTGTACCCACCCCTTTCTCTCCTATTCTCTCATCTCTCTCTTTGTATGCATGTCCGTTCCATGTTCTTATAAACCTTGTTTGCTGGATGCCCTGACTCGATGGCTAAGATGGTAAATAGACCAGACCAGGTGTGTTAGCTGGCTTCAGCTGTGATGTTGATGGTAGTGACTGTGACTGCTCAGCTTCCCCTGGCTGTTGAAGGCAATCTCTGTTCCTGACCACTGAACACAGTCATGGGTGAGAAGAGAGAACGTGGAAATCATGTCCCCCGTGGTTAAACAGTCTGCCAACACTCACTGTGCTGCCTCCCCCAATAAGCTGTGCTGCCAGTGAAACTGTTCCCAGCATGAGTCAGGCCCGACTGGAGTCAAAGTGCGGGCCGCTTCTGTTCATGAAGCATTCTTAACCAACTACAATGCAGTGTAGTCCTTTGGGAAATAAAATGTCCTCAGCATAATTTTTCCTCACGTTTGTCCATTACAATAATAATGAAAACAATCCTTGCATTTGATATAGCGCTTTCCACGTCTTCTCGACGTCTCACAGCTCTTCACAGAATAGACTGTAAAGTGAATTGAATATATGTGGTTGAAACACAGCAGCCATTTCCGCACAGCATTGTCCCACAAACAGTCATGGATTGAGTGACCAAATTATTATTAATTTTAAAACAAATTATAAGTACATCTTATGAAGGGTCCCCACACTGGCATTGTTGAATTGCTGGAGCAGCTCAGAGCGGTGAGAATGGACCTTGTTGCTCTACAGGTATTTTTAATGAGATTTGACTGTATTTGTTCAGTAAATCTTAATAGAATCATAGAATTATACAGCACAGAAGGAGGACATTTGGCCCATCGGGTATGTGCCAGCTCTTTAAACAGAGACCAGAGAGCCCAGCCTGGCCTGGTACCACCACACACACCTGGGGGGGGACAGACTATGCGACTGGAGGGTGACCAGCAGGGAATGCGGAGCAGGAGAACACAGGTTTATTGCAGACCCACAGCACATATCACATTGCTGTTAACTTTTCTGTTAAATGTTTTTTTTTCCAACCATTGGGGGATTTCCAGGAGTTGAAGTGAGAGTTTGAGGCTCCTGCTTGCTGATGGCATTCCACTCCAGTGGTGGGGGGGCTGCATTGTTGGAGGCGCCATCTTTTGGATGAGACTTTATACTGGCTTCCTCTCTTCAGGTGGATGTTAAGGATCCTGTGAAACTACTGAAAATGAGAACAGAGTATCCTGGTGCCTTTTCACCTCCCTCATCAATAGTCTCTTCTACTCCCCACCTCTGAGATCTTCTACCCTTTACCAAATGCTACTGTGTGAGGGTGCTATATAAATGCAAGTTGTTGATGTTGGAACTCCTTCCTGGAATCCCTCCAATTCATCCCTTTTTTGGCTGCACTTTTCGGTCATTCACACCCCCCTCCCACCATAACTGCCACCCTCCCCAGCACACACCCAGGCAGCTGTGCAAAAACGTCTTCTGGACGTCTATAAATGTAAAATGCAATAGTCATTCATAACTGCTTGTTGGATTCCTGGGCAGGGTGAAACTTTAGGTAAGTTCCTTACTCCACACTCCTCTGTTACCTAGCACTAAGTAGAAACCTGGTTGTTAGTCAATTGGCGGATCACTTTTCCAGGGGTTAATAATCCCTTCACAAAAAATTTGGTTACTCAATCCACAAATTTTTGAGGGACACTACTGTGCACAATTGACTGCCGTGTTTCGTCTACAAAATATACAGTCAATAATTATATTCTGTGAAACGCTTTGAGACGTCTCGAAGTTGTGATAAGGCGCTATATCAAATTCCAGGATATTATATATTGTTAGTCACTGCACTCCGAAGGACATTCTGTTGTGATAAGGCACTAAACAAATTCCAAGATCTTTATTCGGTACAAACAGGACAGCTGTTTGTACCAAAGAACTGAATGTAGGCATGCTCTGTTTGCCTTCATTGCTCTTCAGTCAATTAGGCTAAGAAATCATTTATTTTGGAGTCACTAAGTGCAGGAGGTAACTTGCCAGCTGCTTTTATGCCTTCATCCTCTCCAACCTGACCATCAGGCCAAGTTTGAGAACTCGTAAAATGTATCTTTCATAAATAAAGCAAGCAAGTGACTGTCCAATTTGTAGAGTTGGAGACCTAGGAATAATGGGCCTGGCTCACAACCAGCAGCAAAACCTGCCACTGGCCCTGTGTGTCACTGACTGGAAAGTAAACCATTCTCCTCCTTCAGGAGATCTATTTATGTGTTCTTTTTGACAACAACTCAATTTAATTTATTCGTCTCAATGACGTGATAAGGTGCTATATCAAATGCAAGGATAATTATTATTATCAATTCGTACTGCTTAAAACTCGTACTGACTACAATTGACTGCATGGCCCCAGGGAGGTAACAATCAGCTAGGGTTCCTGCTAATGCGATCTCCCCTTGCGGGACGTCCTCCCGGCGTGAAAGACGCTATACAAATGTTATTTTGTATTGTATCCTGAGAAGATGAAGACTTGTGAGGTCAGATTGGACTTGTGTTTTATGCCACCTTGTCGACATTCAAAATCTGGATTCATACGTGAAGTGTGACCCCTTGTGGGAGGTGGAGGAGCCTATAAACTAACCTCTAAAGACAGTGCTTTCCAGAGAGGAGCAGGGGTAGAATCATAGAATTATACAGCACAGAAGGAGGCCATTCGGTCCATCATGTCTGAGCCAGCCCTTTGAAAAGATCTATCCAATTCAATCCCACTCCCCCGCTCTCTCTCCATAGCCCTGCAAACTTGTCCTCTCCAACAATTATCTACTTAAAAGTTGGTATCGAATCGGCTTCCACCAGCCTTTCAGGCAATGCATTCCAGATCCCAACAACTCGCTGTGTGAAAACATTTCTCCTCCCCTCCGCTCTGTTTCTTTTGACAACTATTTTAAATCGGTGTCCTCGGGTTCCGACCCACCCGCCAGTGGGAATAGTGTCTCCTTGTTCACCCTAACAAATCCCCTCGTAATTTTGAAAACTTCTATTAAGTCTCCTCTTAACCTTCTCTGCTCCAAGGAGAATAACCCTCGCTTCTCTCGCCTCTCCTGATCACTGAAGTCACTCATTCCTGGTACCATCCTGGTCAATCTCCTTTGCACCCTCTCCAATGCCTTGACATCCTTCCTAAAGTGTGATGCCCAGAACTGAACACAGTCTGTAGCTGAGGCCTCACCAGTGTTTTATATAAAGGTTCATCATAATTTCCTGACTTGTGTATTCTATGGCCCTATTTATAAAGCTTTGTATCCCTTATGCTTTTTCAACAGCTTTATCTGCCTGTCCTGCCACCTTCAAAGATTTCCTTATATGATCCCCAGGTCTCTCTGTTCCTTCACTTCTTTAAGATTATACCATCACCTCTCCTCATTCTTCCTCCCAAATTGCATCACTTCGCATTTCTCCACATTAAACCTCATCTGCCATGTGTCTGCCCATGTTACCAGTCTGTCTATGTCCTCTTGCCGTCTGCTACTCTCCTCCTCACTGTTTACCTCTTTTCCTAACTTAGTATCATCTGCAAACTTGGAAATTGTCCTCCCTATACCCCAGTCCAGGTCATTTATATAGATCATAAACAGCAGTGGCCCCAATA